CGGGTACTTAAATAGCATTCGCGCTACATTTCCGAATGAAATTTTAGGCATAGATCTCCTTGGTCCCTTCCCCCAGAGCGAGTTAATAAAATCGTTTTCTTTTAGTAATAGTAGATCATTTTTTCAAAATGGATAGAAATTGTTCCACTTAAACGCGCGTCAGCCAAAACAGTCGCAGATGCATTCTTACACAGATACATTTTAAATACGGTGCACCGATAAAAGTCATTAGCGATAACGGAAAACAATTCATTAGTCAAATATTTGAAAACATATGCAATGGACTTGATATACGCCATATCAAAATGGTTCCGTATAGACCACAGGGTAACATAGCAGAAAGAGTTAATAAAAACATTGTAAAAATAATTCGCAGTTACGTTAGCACACATCACAAGCGCTGGGATGGCTACATAAATGAATTAGCTCATGCTTTAAGAACGGCACATCATGATACTACGGGAAAAACTCCAGCAGAATTATTTTTAGGCAGAAAGTTAATTACGCCTTTAGATAAATTATTCTTTGTGCAACAAAGAGAGCAGGAATTTAGACAAAAGGACGTGCAAAAGCTAAAAGCTAATTGATCAGGACTTTAAAACCTCGGATACGGCAAGAAATTGACAGAAAATTTATTATGATAGAAAACGCTGTGAAGCAGATTTTAAAGTTGGGGATAAAGTATTGAAACGGAAATTTTCTTTATCAAGTGCCCCAGACAATTTTATGGCAAAGCTAGCTCCAAAGTTTGAAGGCCCCCTATGTAATTCAGGAAATCAAAGGAGTAGTCTTATATCTTAAAAACGAGAGAGAGGGAAATCTGTAAAGCAAGTCCCGACCAGGTGAAAAATACTATAATCCAAATGATTTTGAAATCCTTAAATGTTTCTTGCAGGACTCAAGTCTAAACGAAATGAAGGGCCAGAGACTGCAACAACTATTCCACCACCCAAGAAACGGAGAACTGAAGAGAGACCTAGCACTTCTACAACCCGGACGTCGGTATCAAAAGAAAAAAGGATTTTCAAACTCCGGCGTTTAAGAAAAACAAAAATACAGATGAACCGGGTAAAGAAACGGTGGTAAAGACGAAAACACCACCTACAAAAGATGGCAGGAGAAATTACACATCAAGGAGAACGCGCACACGGCCACAGAGTCAGGTGCCAGCAAGGCCGCCGTTCCGGAAACTGAAACGCCAACAGGAGGCACAGAAGTACGAGGGACAGAAGAAATTCAAGTAGGACTCCAGACCGGAGGACGTCACGACCAGCCGTCCCAGGCAGAAACGCAAAGGCCAACAACCAGACGATTACTCCGTCAAGAGGTCAGCATGTAGAGGATGCAAAAGAAAGAGCAACGGGGACGACACTCGCAGATCAATAAGGAGAAGATTGACATCCATGACACCTCTAACTTGGGATCAATTTTGTCAAAAGCGGATGACGGAGTTTCAAGCATCGAAAACTCAAAGATAAGTTAAAACCTTCTATATTTTTTTTTTCTCTTTTGTTCCGAAATGTTATGCATAAGTACGAAGTTCTATGTTTTGACGAAAGTCAATATGTCTCGGTTGAGACTTAGTTTTGTTTTACTTTATTTAGCTAAGGCAAAAGTATTATTTTCTTTAAGTGTAAAAGCTAAAAACAAGCATTTCCTGTTGGTCGAAAGACTAATTCTGTTATGTTAAAGCCAAAATTTGGCCGGAGATAAAAATAACTTCGTATTCTTGTACTAATAAGAATTTTAGTTTCAGTGCCGCCAGCTTGGCGAAGAATGAGTAAAGTAAAAATTTATTTTCTCTTATTCATTTTATGGTAAATTGTAAAAAGCATATGTATTAAACTTTTGTAATTGTATGTAAATACTTGCATGTTATGTATGTAAAAGTACAATTTAGTCTAGAAGCATAAAATTGTAGATGCTAAAAGTGAATGCTTAAAAGCAATGAAGTCAAAATTTAAGTATTAAACTGTAAAGTCATGCTTTAGAGCGAAAGCCTGCATGTTTAAAGATGAATGAGGGGGAAGCTAGAATGAATGTGTTTTGTAGGGTTCTCCACCTACATTTGAATTTTTAAGAATATTAAAGAAGCTCATTGAGTTGTAGAATGTCGAGTAAGGTGTGTCTATTTGGTTGTTGAATTCTAACAAATCATGGTGGTTAGGGGAAGTGTTGTAAGACTAAAACACGAATATTCCCGTTTGACACCACACATGGTGGAGAGCCCAGGTAAAGTTAAATTAATGCTTGAAAAATTGAATGAATGTGAAGTAAGCAATAACTAAGAAAAACGAATCGTTAAAAACAAAAATTTATTGTGTCAAGAAAGTGTAAATTATAATGTATGTAGAAAGATACTGATACTTATTCCTTCCAGATGCTGGAAGGAAAGACCAAAATTGATTGATGAAGTCCAGGAAAAGTTGCTGTAAGAAGAAAGCTTTGTAACGAATAACAGAATTTTAATATATAATTGTTACATAAATTTTTTTTTGTGTAACGAGGCTTTTCGCCAGTTAGTTCAGAATTAGATAAACTTACAACAGGTCGTTTGTAGGACCTGCTTCCAAGTTTTCCAAATTCTGGCAGCGGCAAATGTAGGGTTTATATTTATTTTAACTAACATTTATTTTAAGTTTTAAACTATCTTTCCTGTCAAGCCTTACTTTCCCTGGAACTGCCAATGCCAGAATATGTAAATTTGAGTAGAACGCGCAAGCATTCAAATTATCAGCGGAAGTAGTATGATTTAAATAGAAGGAAACGAGTTCGGTGAGAGTTATTCTTACTTAGCGAGCGCGATGATAGAATCGAGAATTGAAGAACCCCGCGTTGCGGCCTATGTGCTTGGCGGGAAGTAGTTGCAATTGTTTAAGTGAGCTTCAAGTCTGTTGAATTAGCTGCGGTATTTGTAAAACGCGGTGAGTTAGTTATTTTAGAGAGCCTCGTAGTTAGAATATTGTCTTTACTTTCTTTTCAGGTTGTTATTTTTATTTGACTGCCTAGTGGGCACAGTCTGTAAGCGTCAGGAGGACGCCATTGTAATTTATTACGTTGAATAAAAAGGGACTTAAACCCTTTATAAGACTCTGTGGTTTATACAAGCTTTCCACAGTCACCTCTTGGTTGTGTGCTAGTTAGAGGCGCGCAACGTTATAACATAAAAGAACATTCTTTTTGCTCGGCCACATCACATTAGTTGAAAAATTGAATCATGCAAGATCATTTTTAAGTAAGGTATGCTCAAATTTATTAGTACATAATATTCAGATGATAAAGCATCTACATGAACAAGCTTTAAAAAAGTATTTCTAAACTGTAATAAAAAAATAAATTTTCCAATATACAGTTTCAGTAGAATGCAAAAACTGTATTTCTGCATCTGCACACTGAAGCAAATTATCAAGTCTGAAATTATCACTTTTAAGTCTTTAAGCACATTGTTTTTCAGGTTAAAGTAAAGATGGAAAATCAATTTCACGCACAGAATCTCCATTTCACAACTAGTCAGTTATCAGCAACGTTCTCTCAAACATTAGACACGATTACACGTGCATGGCTTTAGTTGTATATTCATAGTCAGTGCTGGTATTTTATATTTATTACTAATTTCTAAACAGTAAAACATAGTAAAATTTGTAATACAGTAAATCCTAGTAAATAATATATTGCATTACTACAACCACGAAGAAATAACACCACCATCGCACAACAATAAACTAGCAGCGTCGTGCCGATATTGCTTTGTTTGGGAAACTTCTGAGAGTGGGGGAGGGAGGGGGAATTTTTTTCCTCGCGTCAGCGTATTAACAGGGCAGAAAAGTTTTGCGATTGTGAATGAACTTGTTCGCGTTAAAGAGATGTTTGTTGATACCGGTGTTTATTTGTAATAGCAGAAATGTTAAGTGCTTATGTGTGTGTATTCAGAGAACCAACTCGTAGCAAAAACCCCCTCCCTAAGACGACCGCCTCTGAAACAAACCAGTATTTCTGAAAACATAAGTATACTTTGGTATTGAATATTCCCTCTGTAAGGCGACCATTCACAAAGAAAATTCTGCAAGTGTGTCTGGTCGCCTTAGAGAGATTCATTCTGTAGACGCAATCTTCCTAAGACGACCACCTCTAAAAGATAAACGTATCTCTGAGAACGTGAGTATATATTGGTATTGAGAATCACCTCTCTAAGGCGACCACTTGCAACGATGAATTTTTATTTGCGGCTGGTCGCCTTAGAGAGACCTCGCTGTGTGTGGTGTATATGATTACTGTTATTGTTTCCGCAAAAAAATTAAATCAAATAAATAAGCATATTTAGTAAAAACCCTCTCTAAAACGACCACCTGCGTTTCCAGGTTACTCTGATGGTCTTAAAGAGATCATATTTTCATTCTGTTAATTTTATTCTTTTCAAGAGGTCTATTAACGTCAGATAAAAAAAATAGCATAAACCCATATAAAACAACAGAAGATTTATTATATTGATACCAGTAAGAAAACCAGTAAAAGTCAATATAAACCTATACAAACCAGTACAAAGTTCTGCCATTGATGTTGGTTGTATGGGTGTCAATTGATACCAGTAAGAAAAACCCACAGAGATCAATAGAAACCAGTAAAAGTCAGTAGAGACCATCAAAAAATTCTATAGGTACCAGTAGAAAGTTTTACTGGTTTGTATGGGTCATTTTGAAACCAGTAAAAAAAACCCAGAGACCAACAGAAACCAGTAAAAGTCAATAGAAACCCATAAAATCTTATGGGTACCCATAAAAAGTTTTACTGGTTTCTATGGGGCATTTTTAGCAGGGACTCTAAGAGATATTGAAAAGTATTGTTTCACCCTGAATAAATTGTGCATGGCATTTACAATAAAAACGGGAGATTTATGTTAAATGATCCTACAAATATGAACACCTTGGTCGATCTTATCCATAAGAAAGTTAAATAAAATGGTTTAAATGCAATGTCATGAAGTTTCTTTTGCTCTTTTTTAGTTGAGCAAAAGGCCACGGTGGGAACTGGAAAATAGGTTTTTGAAAAATGGCCCAGACCATTACGAAACAGTTCAGTACTTCAAATTAATGACAGAAACTGCCAAAACTCTTGGTGCAGATGAACCTACTTCGCAGAATGAACTCAAGGAAGTTCTCGATTTCGAAATCAGGCTAATTAATGTAAGTAGAAGGTTTCTTCAATTTAATATTAATCGATATATTTATTCTTCATGACAGTATTTCTCTAATTACTTGTCCTGTTTAGCAGTCAATAATCTACAAGTTTCTTCCGTATAGTCCTTACGATAATTTTATTTGAGCATGAATTCTAAAGTTTCTCCAAGGAAACAGAAATTAACTGCAATGAACAATATTGTTACGAAATGCCCATCTGAGGGAAGATAGCTTTACCGCAAAGCGGATTTAGTGTTACCAGAAAATCCCAAGGAAATGCAGGGTTACCTGATTTGGCACAAAATCGCCCCTTTGGTGACAGAATCGCCGATTACCATAGACGGAGCGGGAACATTCTAGAACGAATTCTTACCGGTTTTCCCGAGAATGTTCTCGAAGACACTTCAAAGGCTATAAATATCTTGCCTGAACGCGCAGTAGCAGTGTATCTTGAGTATGTTCAGTTCAGCAGCAGTGTCTTGAGTTCAGAGATTAGCTCGAGAGCGATCAACCGAGTCGGGAGCTGTACTTGAGTGCTTTGTCGTGAAGCTGTATTCCCCCTTATAGCCTGAAAGCTGTGTGGCTGATTTTTTCAGCGTGTTTATCGTAGTTTTTCGACGGCTACAAACGTGTCTTTGAAAATCCCCTGTGTAATAATAATGAATAAATTTTGTTTTGATTCTTCGTCAAGTGTTGTCATCAATCATTCCAAATCCACGAACGCGTAGAACGCAACAATATGGGAAAGCCCACAGAAAACATCTTGAAGTAAATATGATTCAAATAGTTTGGAGTAACAAGTAATTTTAAAATATCAAAATATACCAAAAATTTTAGAACATTTGAAAGCTTGCTATCTTCATAAATGATTGTTTCTTGATCGTGAAAATGTGTGTATTTATTTCGAAGTCCTTGATACCGTATTTACACTTTAAATTACGTTCCAGATGTAATAAAATATCTTCTTCGTAATTATGTTCCAGATGTAATAAAATATCTTCTTCGAAAAATAATATGTTTTAAGATATCTTATCATCTATCCAGATGTAATAAAATATCTTCTTATGTTCCAGATGTAATAAAATATCTTCTTAAGAATTTTAAGTTGTCGACAACTTAAAATTGTTTCATATATTATATACAGTATTGTGGATAAATAAATGAGTATTTTAGTAATTTTTTTGATTTGGAAATTAACATAAAACTAATACGAATTATCATTTAAAAATACTCAATTTATAATTTCCTAAAAAATAACATACATATTTAACTAGAACGCGCGGAGGTCTAGAGTAGTCGTGTTTGAGACCGACCTCTTTATATTTCTGAAGCTTTTTCGCTACGCCTTTGATTCGGAATTTTGTTTTTGATCAGACCGTGTCTTTTAGACCCACCGCGCCTATCCGTATTATTGTTACATAATTGATTTGTGAAGCGTCATCTATATCGCGTAATTTGTCTTACTAGCAAGGAATTTTGCAAAAGTTATTAGATACATCAACTGGCGAAAACGTATTGGCGAAAATGAGGATGAAAATGATCATGAATTCTTAGCTTACGTGACACCGAGTATCAGATATTACAATATATTCTGAAAACGAGAGTGAGAACTAGAGTGAGATTGCTTTTTTAGAAGACACGTCATTGGAAACGATTAAAAAAATCTGATACGGACACCACATGACTTTCCTGTGAGGAATAATAAATTATATTCATTATTTCTGCATTTCATTTATTTCTTCGAAATATGTTAGATTATATTTCTCATTAAAGTAATTAAATTCTCATTTCGTGGCAAGACAAAAATGCATAAAACCTTAAACACGTTCATTAGAAATAGAAAAGTGAAGGAAAACATAAAACAACAAGTACAATTAAAACAATTACAAAAAACAGTTTTTGCAATTAAAGTTAGAGTTTGTACGCAAAGGCAAGAAATGGCCTAGCAGGCAAAAATGCAGATTTTGCGGCGCACAAAACTGAAAGTTTATTTTTGATCCCACTCGGCAAAAAGACACAGAAGGTGACATATTTCACTATGTATACAAATATGGATGCTATGGTAAAAAAAGGTTAGACATACCCGCACTTAAACAACTTTTAAATTGTTGATAAATCTACAACTAGAGCATGCAGATGAACTAAAAGCATAGAAACCTTAACCAAAAATTAAGAACAACATAATTCAATCATTCTTGAAAACAAAAAATGCACAATTTACCAACATATAAGAATAAAAATCACCGAGCTCACAGAGCCAAGTAAAAGAGTGGGTACATATATATATATACAGCGATGGCCAAAATTGTAGACACTTTTGCAAATTTTTATGTTTTTGAACTTTGTATGCTTATAGAAAATGTTACGTTTGTATATATCATTTTAAAGAGAATTCATTACTGAATTCAATACAAAACACAAATTCAATTATTTGCAATACAAAAAAAGTTATATGCACTTTAATATAAATAAAAAACACAGTTATGAAGTGGTTTGTAATGTCTAGCTTTCCTGGCCAATCACTGTTCTTGTTCTGAGAACCACTCAAATGTTAGTAACTGCCAGTACAGCCGACATCATGTTTACACTTGAAACAATACATTATTTTGCTTTGTTCTGTAGAAAGAGGACCTGTTTCTTATACACTGCAATAACAAGTAGGAATTTTTGTAAAAATTTTTAATATTTAGTTGAGAAGCAATGACATCAAATAAAAGAGTAGACTGGACACCTAGAAAGAGATGTAATATTATTGTGTTACGAGAAAGTGGTCTTTCCTATGCTGAAATTGCAAGACAGGTGGGTGGTTCAGTAACTACATCTGGAGTCCGAAAGTTTCGTTTACGATATCAGGAGAAAAATTCAATAAAAAAACAAAGAAGGAAAAGGCCGAAAAAGCTGCACCACATCTATTGATGACAGAAGAATAAAACGACTATGTCTCCAAGATAGAAAAATGGCATCAGCGGCCATCAGAAGTGATCAGAATGATGCTGGTGTTTCTGTCAGTTCAAGAACAATCAGGAGAAGATTAACAGTTGTTGGACTGAAGGGTAGAATTCCACGAAAAAAGCCTTATCTTAATTTTCAGCAACGAAAAAAAAAAAAAAAAAAAAAAGACTAATGTGGGCAAAGGAACATATTAATTGGACAGATGATCAGTGGTCACAAGTTATATGGAGTGATGAAACTAAGATATCGTTATTCGGTAGTGATGGGCGAAAATATGTAAGATGTAGAATAGGAGAAGAGCTACATCCTGACTGCACTCAAGCAACTGTGAAGAACCCAGTTAGTGTTATGATTTGGTCATGCATGTCAGCAGATGGTATTGGTCGCCTTCATGTCATCGATGGGACACTGAATGTCAGAAAATACATTGACACTATTCTAGAACCAAAACTTCTACCTTCCATCAGAGATATCTTTTCCAACAATGCTTCGTTTATTTTTCAGCAGGATTCTGCTCCTTGCCACACGAACAAAATATCGAAAGAGTGGTTTTGTACAAAGAGCATTAAATTGTTGTCATGGCCAGGAAACAGTCCTGACCTCAATCCTATCGAAAATTTGTGGCACCGTTTGAAAACTCTTGTCCGAATAAGGCGCCCATCAAATAAAAGGAACTAATTGAGGCTATAATTGTTTCCTGGCATCATGTAATAACGAAAGAAGAGCTTAAAACTCTTGTCAGCTCAATGAAACGTTCGATGTGAAGCTGTAATCAAAAATAAAGAGTACCCTACTAAGTACTGATAACTCACTGCAATCATCACTTTTTAATGTATATCGATAACTATTATCGTTTAACTTTTCTTGTATTGCAATAATTGAATTTTGTGTTTTGCATTGAATTCAGTAATAAATTCTCTTTAAAATAATGTATACAAGTTTGCATTTTGTGAAACTTAACGTTTTCTATAAGCATACGAAGTTCAAAAACATGAAAATTTCCAAATGTGTCCACAATTTTGGCCACCACTGTATATTACTTTTGGTGAGGCCGATGTCAACAGTAAAGAGAGATTCACAGCTACATGTCATAGCAATTCTATATACAAAATTTGAACATTCTGTGCCTACTTGTTTTTGAGTTATGGGAGATACATACATACAGACGTTACGAAGACACCGCTTCTGATTACATTTTAAATCGATTTTATAATCCGTTTCGAAAAAAAAAAAAAAAAAAAAACCACTTTATTCTGTCTTATGTACAGGTGTCATGCAAAAACATCGTTAAACTGCATCGATAGAGGTCAAATTGAATATTTTCGTTGAAATATGATACTCTCGGAATATTTCGTAATTACAATTCTTCCATTACTTCGTACAAGGGAGTAAAAATTTGGGTTTATTTTATTATGGCAAAGCATATTAGGGCTATCTGCCTAAGGGGAGGGAAGCCTCCGTGGAGGACTTTCTAAGGGAAACTGGCTCTTATACACTTTACACATGGGGAAAAACCACGAAAACGCCCATGCAGCCAGCCCGTTCGCGGGATTCGAATCTCGGACCGAACTAGCAGTGTTCAGCGACTTTACCGCTCGGCCGCTGGTAAGCTGGATTAAAAAGGAGAATGAAAATAAAAGTTTCAATGTTTGCCCAGCGGAAAAGCACAGGAAATCGAAAGCGCGTTAGTGAAACATGTTTGCATTTGGAACACACGACGACACTTTGTTCAATGTGCTGTTGCAGTTTTTCTGTGTCTCTAGTGCTAATAAAGAAAAGAAAGAATTGATACAGAGTAAAGGTATACCATTTTTCCCCCTATAAGATATTTTTTTTTATTTAAGAAATTTTATTTCAAAAAGCATTTAGAGAAATTAAAAATTTTAATGTGCATATTTACTAAGTTTGATCATTAAATTTATTATCGGCATAGATGTAACACTTTTTCCGAAGATTTAAATTTTTTCCTTCAACAAAACACGCGTTTCTTTTCTTCAAACGCACATGGGGCACGTCCGCCCCATTTACGTTGTGCACACAACGAAAGCGGATGT